GGCCGAGTCTCTGACGCCTGGGGAGCGTGTGGCCTTTCGGGGGTGGGGGTTCCAGGCGGTGGCCCGGCGCTGGCAGGCGGGTGAGAGCAGTGCCCAAGGGAGGTAGCTGGTGCGAATTCTCTCCCGTGTTTCTTAGTATAACCCAACTCTCAGCTGGTTGTTTAAGGTTCCTTCATACTCCCAAGCTTCTTTAAGGGCCTTACATTCTTTAGAAGTGTTTGTTTACATGCAAGCTACCCTGATCTATATTTTACTCTCTATTTCTGCCTGTTTTGTGAGAAAACAATAGTTTTTTTTTTCTCTTCTTACATGTTCCTTTGCACAGAACAATGGATGATGAGGGGAAAAGCTATGTTTCTGCAGAAGTATCTGATATGTTGGGATCAGTTTCTTTTCTGAGTGTAGCAGGTAAACCGTCACCTATGGAGTCAACAGTATTGCCTAATACAGAGGAACAGGAGGTGTGGATTGGTTTTGTAATATGTCATGATTATGTTGGTGGGTTGGGGGTTTTTTTTAAGTTTCAATTCTGGCAAATATTTCTTTGTTAAGAACTGCTGTATTTCCCTGCCCTCAAGATGTATTTGATTCTTCTGCTAACTTCTCATTGCTTACAAATGGCTCATAGCCAGTAGCAGATGCAGATGGTCAATGCTACATGATGTGTCGTGCTAAGCTTTTGAGAAGTAAAGGACTTCAGTAATTGCACTTTAAATGTAATGCAACTGTAACATACTTTTTAGTAAGCTAAAAAAGGATATGGATCCTTGGTGAAAGCGTGTTAAGTGCTTGGAAATAAAAATCTATAATGCTGTGCTGCGGTACGCTTTTGGAGATAGTACAGCCATCTCTCCTTTTTTTAGAATGGTGGGTTTCCTGATGGACTTCCCTCAGGTGACTTAATATTGTATGATTAATGGAGTCATGGGAGGGCTGTGGAGACCTCTGGTAAATCCATCTGCTGAATGAAAAGTTGACAAAGTAGGGAATTCGAAGCTCTGTGAGAAAACAAAGAATGCTGGAAGTCCTCCAAAAATCTTCCTGCTATTATCACTTCACCTGGATGGGGAGACCTTTGTATAATGATACAGGATGGAAAAGCCCACCTTAGCAACTGAGAACTGTTTTATGGTTTTTACTGTGGGGAAGATGAGGGGCTACTGCCTGGGTGGTGGTAATGAAGCAGTCTCTTGAGGCTAAGAATGTGTCAATCTATTAACTGAACATGCTCCATACAAAATGGAAGTGCAGTACTGCAGAGCAGCTGTTAGAAAATATAGCTTGAATTCAATACAGAGGGAGACCAGAAGGTGGAAGCAGTGCTGTTTACGCCTCCAGTAGTGTACTCTTTTAAAATCAAACTCTTGGCTTTGTCATAAAAGAATATGGGGGGAGGGGGAGCAAAAAGGGTTTACTTAAGGACATTAGGAGGTAAAGAAGCTTAGGGT